CAAACTGAGGCGGGATGGTTGAAAAAAATTGGCAAGAAAATTGTAAGTTAGAAACAGTAAATCAGGACTAAATTATTTGTGTCAAAAAAAGTTTACTAACTCATCTCCATTCTATTTCATTCCTAAATTTCAGGAGCGCGTTGGACAACATACCCGAGATGCCACCATTCAAACAATTGCGGTAGCTCAACAGGCAGCCAATGTTGCGGCAACATTGAAGGGTTAAATGAATCTGTTCGGAAGATCCAACAACAAATGAGTACCTAACTTAAGATTAATATTTATTTATTTAGAAAATTGTGTGACTGATTTCTGAAGATATGAAATAAAAGTATTTGAATGAAACTAAATTCTGCCGAACAATTTTTGTTAATATTTTCTAAAGCTTGGTTGTAGGATTCTTATATAAAAAAAAACTTCTTAAAATAAGAACAATTTCGATGATTTTGTTGACTAGAAACTAATAGATTTTCTACTAGTATTAATAAACACCAAAAGGGTTTCTGTTTCTTTTTTTTTTTTTTTTGAAACGGAAATGCTTGTGCTGAAGAAACGATCGTTTAGAACTTATCCATCTATTGATGTTAGGATGGAAAAGCTTGTAATGCGAAAACTATATTTTGACAGTATTCCTCACGCTATCACTTATTTTCTTGATCCTGGTTATTTTCTGCTGGATCAATCAATCAATATCTTCCGACATTACGACGAACATTAAATATACATATGTATACTTCTGTAATAAATAATACTTAGTAAAAGGGTTTCAACATGAGACATGAATTTACATATTTCGAAATACTGTATTGTCCAGTCTCAACTGTTAAATATTATTCATGAAAATTAGTTCTAGTATTAGATAACATAACGCATGGTCTGGGTATGTTTTTTTCATAAATCCTCAATAGGCAAAGGCGAATATCCAATTCTTCAATGAATAAGCTTCTTATAAAATATATTTGGTTGTCGGTGGAAGCTAAACGCATCTTGGAAGATATTAAGGTGCTCTATCCAAATATTAACGAGAATAAAAGATCCAGTTTTTATATACTACATATAAGCTGTCTATATATATGATATATCAAGTTTCCCCAAAAAAAAAAAATTATAAGACATAAAATCACCTATTACCAAGAAAAATAATTCAATGAAGATTCACCAATAATTTGCGAATTAAAAACAGATCCATCACCATCTTTAGTGTTGTTGAGTTGAATGAAAACAAATTTGAATTAATAAGAAATGAGAGGAACAAAAGAAAGCAAAATGATGGCAACGAGCTAAAATCGAAGTGTACGTATGGATGTATGTATGATAGCACAAAACCATTATAGATATTAAGAAAAAACGTTAACCGCGACTGCACCGAAGCTAAAACCCTCCAAAGTTGAAGTTTTTAAAGCTTAAAATGGAATAAAAAGATATTTATCTTGATTTTGATTGGACAGTTTGTACGGCAGATGTATGCTATAGTAGTCCGATCTGAATAACTTATTGGGAGATTGCATAATAAAAAAATATATTTTGATCAATCAATTTGTATGAGCAGCTTTTTGAAGAGAAAAGAAGGAATGCAAAATTTCACATCGATATTTCAAACGCTGAGGAACTAATTCGCATATATATAGGTGGATGGATAGACATACATATGTACATATGGCTAAAAGCACCTAGCTCGTCAACCTGATAATATAAACACATATATTTATATACACTATATAGGGTCTCTGACGCTTCCTTCTTGTTGTTCAGGGTATACTTAAGTAAATAAAGAGTTTTCTTTGAATATTTGTCTCAAACATTTCAGTCATGTTTTTTCTACTGGGTTATTTAATAAGTTGCTGTGCGGCGTTGTTAATAGATGTAGATATAGATTTGTATGAAAAAAAAAATGTATGAATGAAACAGATCTGAGCTAATTACACAATTTGTTTACGTTTCTATCCAATTCACTAACTATGCATGAACGTATAAACAGATGTGAAGTATGCGATATTTCGAGTGATTTTTTATTTCCGAATCACAAAACGTAAATAACCGAACGTTTTATTTGCGTGTGAATTTCATTTGTTGTTGCAAGATGCCGGGGAACCAATCTGAAAATTAAAATTCCCTCCAAAAAACAGTGATTAATAAGCAGCGTCTTTCCGAACTTCAGAAATTGACTTTTAATGAGAAGAAAAAATATCTTAATAAATGATATTGGAGAGACGGAAGCAGGCTACTGAGAAATCGTGACTATATATACTAACTATACTTATTCTCGGGAATATATAAATCAAATATTTTTAAATCAAATATATTTTTTATAATAAACTTTAGAATTAAATGACGCTATAATCCGAAAAAAAACAGACCTAAACATAAATGCGTTTTAAATTACAGCCCTGAGACGAACACAAATATAACGTGTTGTTCTGCGTTTTTGTCTCAATTGGGATATGAACTCACTATTTAAGAACTTGTCCCAATCTGGCACATTATTCTACATACTTGTAGAAATTAATTAACAGCAATGAAAATTTTCTGAGAACAGTTCATTTTATTGGTAAGCATAAGTTCAGAACTATAACTACGAAATCATTCAGAAAAAAAGAGTATATGATTAATGCAGATTAACAGTAACAAATTTAAACTAAAAAACTTAGTATGTAAATATTTTATTTATACATCTAAATTAAATAAAAACAAAATAATTTTTGCTATAAAATATTTACTTTTAAAATTGTTAATATAAATTTAAAAAAATTCAGAAACAATTTACAAAATTTTCGTGGCGATAAAATAATTGTAGCGCTACTTTTTAAAAATAATTTCATAAATACGCAGCCAATTAATATCTTTCATTAACCACTTGACTCTGAAAGGCAAACACTTGAAATTAATACCGGAAGATATGAGTGCATTAAGTAAATAATKCACACTTCCCTCATTGAGATCCTTCAGCCAATCGGCCAATGTGATTCCCACTGCCGCAAAAAGCAAAGAGACAGCAAAGATTACTGCAATTTTCTTAYATTACAATGTCAAGTTTACATTCTACCATAAAAGAATTGACGCTTACGASCGTTTTGGCTAAAGAAAAGGGGATTTTTGCACAGATGCTTTTCTAGTATTTTAAGCGTTTTGATTTTGATAAAATAGCGAAGAAACAAGCTCAGCTCTAATTATAATTTTTATACACTGGTGCAATATATTTTTAGAAATGTTTGTATGTCTGTGCGAGATTCTTTGACTGTTTCATAAACCCATGTCTTATGATGATATGTCGGTTGAGAACCCGCCACGATCTCAAGCGACCCAAAACATAAACCAAATTCTGTTGAGTCAATCCATAAAAAATGTTGAGATTCTCTGCAATCTCTATTATGGCCAAATCAGAATTTCTTATATAAATTACATAATCTATATACACATATATAAAAGAGAAAGAGAAAATTTGTATGTATGTTCCCATAGACTCCGAAGAGGCTTGACCGATTTCAATGAAATTTTAGGATTATATACAGATAGCAGGAACAATCCTGTAAAGTTTTGATTGCTACCTATTTAGATTTGTAAATGCACTTAAAAATAKAACTTCTTACTTCTAATTGCATCGCGCAAATAAAATTTCAAACCCTCCACCTTTAATTTCAACAATTAGAATGAAGTAGTTAAAGGATCGGATCAAGCATTGGTCAGGGGACGAAATACCACATAGTTATTCTAGTCATTTTTTACTAATCGAGTTTTATTAAAACATTTTAAACTATTATAAATTCATATGTATTTTTATTTTTACGTAAATATTATAATATGACGTAAATAAGCTCTAAGGCATCAATATTTCTTACAATGAGCTGCACGAGATATACGACAACATTGACATATTTAGTTTAGCAAATTAAGAGACAACGGCTACGCTAGCTAGGTCATATCATCCGAATGGATGAAAATACTCCAGCTTTGACAGTATTCGACGCAATATTCGACAAAAGGACCTGGTTACACTTGGAATCTCTAATTGACTTCAAACAGCGAAAAGGWGGAACGACTGGCGAGCTGTTGTAAACTTGGCTATAACCATGTAAGTAAAGAAGAATAAAGAGAATTTATATACAAGTATGTATACAATTATATAATTATTCGATGATTAGTTATTTCTCGAACTCTATACATTTGCATAATAATCGAAGTTATATAAAAAAATATAGCTACATCCATATGAAAGTTAATCAACAAATTTTAAATGAAGCTGCAAATATATAGATTTACATGTACTTGCACACCACTGAGTACCGTATAGAAAGAAATCCCCGGCATCGCGCTGATAAAGAAAGGTGTCGTTCAGTTTGTATCTCTGTCGTGCTATAAAAGCAAAGCTGAGCCACTGAATTATCAATAAACACAATTCGAACGCCGAAGAAAGTGGAAGTGCAGCAAGCTKATATAATCTTTCCTACCAATAAATTAAAATTTATACATCAACAAAATGAACTTTAACAAAATTTTCGTTCTTCTGGCTGTGTTTATTGCCGTCTTTGCTGGACAAACTGAGGCGGGATGGTTGAAAAAAATTGGCAAGAAAATTGTAAGTTCGAAATAATAACTCAAAAAAATATATGTATGTATATACTTCAATGTGCATTCTGCAATAAGAAGAATTTACTAACTTCTCAATTTCTCTTSATAAATTTCAGGAACGCGTTGGTCAACATACACGAGATGCCACTATCCAGACCATTGCCGTGGCGCAACAGGCCGCCAATGTTGCGGCAACTTTGAAGGGATAAACTTAATATGTTCAAATGTTGTTACCATAAATCTATGTACTTAAATTAGTTGAGTATTTATTTAGTTAGACCATTTTGTGATTGAGATTAAAATAGTATTTGAATAAAATCAAAATTTCAGAAAACTACACACTTTTTTAYTTTTATACGCCATATTATCAATAAAAATGGACAGAAGCAAAGCCAAGATTGCAGGACAAATTAATAGATTTCTAACAAGTTTCCATTTTTTCGAAAAAAAATTCAAGATAATAAAAATAAATAATTCTAATACCAAAAAAAATATAATTGTTTTTGAGTATTTATTTTTGTTAGAACAGAAGCTATGATGGGTGTGTGTTTTTTTTGGTTTTTTTGTTTTTGAAAATATTGTTCAGTGTTCCGTTAATTATATTGCTAAGGTAACCATTTCAATGTGAAATAYATTTACCCTTTGCAAATACTTACACTACTTGTCTAGATATTAAAGCCACTTATTTTGGTAAGCATTTAATTGTTTTTAATTCGTACCGGAAGCTTTTTGAAGCACATTCGGTGATAAGTGACATCGAAAAATGCGTACAAGTATTTCTATAACCAGYTTTCCCAGTTGTACAGATCGACAGGCCAATTTTCACGTTCTCATCTGGTGAATATGTACACTATTGGTTAAAATTATATTATGGTTTACAAAAAGTCGACTATATCCATACTTTAATATCAGTAATACCTATTTGAATGATATAAATAATGTCAAAGGGAGGATTCCTGTWACCATTGGTCTCTGTTGTACGTAATCATAATAAACTTGTTTTTAATCCGGCCAGGGACTGTCAACTTGACAGCATTTTGAGAAATGTATTTTCTCGGTATAACAATAAAATTTATATGAGATATATAAAGTATTTTCGAATTTCTAATCAAACATTTTCTTTTTTTTTTTTTGTTTTTTCTTATAATAATAAATAAATAAACATATATGTACCGTTTTGGTCGCCCACTTTTTGCCATTTTTCCACTTGAGACATTATTCCACCAAAATACGAAAAGACTTTTTCGATTACCATATGCATATTTTATACGTATTGCTCATTGATAATCCTCTAGTGAACTTAGAAGTCTAACTTGGGCCATTATGGACAAACCGATTAAAAAGTGTAGAGCTTAGGTGAACACGGTAACCAAATATAATCGTCAAAATTTAATATCTGAGACCTACAAATCATGATCCAAATGTTTAAGAATATTATTCTGGTACCAAGGATAAAAAAATATTAAGTCCGAACTTCATATTTTTTGTATGCATCACTTTAAACCAGAAGAGGTAAATTTAAAATATTATAAATCAAATTTAGCATAAGCCCTTTGTTGACATACATACATATATATAATGCATCTACCAATAGGACTGACGTGCTTTTGACAGTTCCGGACGAACATGTTTGTTTACGAAATGATGTAAATTTATCAGTGTATTCTATAAGAATAGGTWAAGGTATAAGATTTGCCATTTCATCATGTCACGTTTCRCWTTGGGACAACACTTGAAAATAGTTCGGAGTTATTACGCAAATTGACGATCATCGAAAAGTCAGCAAACAAAATTGTATGGCAGTATCATAGGGCCTTAYTTCTTTCGAAATRAAGYAGGAMGTGCCGTTGTCATCAATACCGATGATTATAATACGATGTTGACCGACATTTTTTCCCGGAGTCTGATGAAATCCTAATACCAAGCCCGCTAGAAACGGTCAAAGGAGAGATCCATAGCCAATTTCAAMRAGTTGSAAATAACAGGTGGAAAAACATTACAAAATGCATCATAACTAAATAATTATGKACAASATATGGMAGGAAAAGAAYSAACGMCTTATTAAATAGGTCAAGAAAAAGTATCTACAGAGTAACAGCTAYCACAGCAGGGCACTGGCCATTTGGRRAACATGCGTCCAAAATGGGTATRCCCTACAACGACATCTGCCGAGGTTGCGGAGTAGCAGGGAACAAGGAMACAATCTTCCACTTTCTCWGCGAATGCYCAGSTCTAGCATAGATCCGACACAAAAYACTTGGAATCCATCAAGCACCAAACATTGAATGGATTTTCACCAGACATAAGTAGTTTCATCGAAACYTCAAAATGGTTAGAGAGAGAAAGTGAAACGTATTAGCAGATACAGGAGGTACTACGAATAGGGTATCAAAATGGCACATCAAGTGCTAATTGAGCCCGATAGGGCTGCACTTCTACCTACCCACCTGATGAAATCGGCGCGGACGATCCCATCTTCAGAAAGGCAGTTTCACATCTAAACATGGACGCATTGAGCGCCAAGCTTGCCGACTCGTTAGTTTCGAGCAATGGCTCTACGATCAGCGCCTCTAGATTATTTTCTGTGGGTGCACGTTAAATCAAAGGGTTACGACAATCAACCAGCAAATTCTGCGGGAGGTAARAGGCAACATTCAGCGCACTAAAGCCGAAATTCTGCGCCGGGTCATCGAAAATTGATGTCAGCGCGTGGAGATACGCAAAAAGAGTTAACATTTGGCCGACATTTTGCTCAAATYGTAAATAGAATAAAAATATCTGCATTTGTTATGCAACAGACGGAGCCCATTTTGACCAAATTTTTATGTTTTATTTCATTTTAACATCACGTCCTACTTCTTCGTAGATCAGTAGGTGAGTCAATCTTAAAGACAATTAACTTCAAATATGGGAATTTAGTTTAAATTTAATTTACAAATCCTTCTCCTCTGTGAAAAAAAAGATTTAATAATAAAGTCTACAGGTACCAACATTATCAATATTAAATGAAAATTRTTATTATGTTACATGAAAAACATATTAAAGTGATTTGACTTATTAGTGGAAATAGGTTCAAAATAGTTATTTTGACCTTATTTGAGTAAGTAAACTCCAGATTCTTCAAAAACGCTGAATTGATTTATTTTTTTCTTTCAAGAAAGCAAGTCCTCGTATTTATATAGTATATATGTATATATATATATACAACAACATGCTTATGAAGCAAATAAATCTTTACCTGGAATACACATATTACTAAATGAAATTGAAAATTATTCCTAATAAAAATATATGCGCTTATATTGTCTAGATACTATTTTTAATTGCACAAATTAACCCAAAGACTGATAATACAAAATTTAGATGATGTTGAAAACACATATGTACATACATACTTAGCAACATTGCTACACTCTTCAGTGCTGAGTAGAACGAAATCCCCGACAACGCGYTGATAAGGAAAGSTTTCGCTTGMTTTGTATCTCTGTCGTGCTATAAAAGSAAAGCTGYGCTATKGWACTRTCAACAAACACAATTCGAACGTCGAATAAAGTAGAAGCATACCACGCTTAAATAATCKTTCATACAAATAAACAAATCTACATACCTAAACAAAATGAACTTCAACAAGATTTTCGTTCTTCTGGCTGTCTTTATCGCCGTCTTCACTGCACAAAGTGAAGCAGGATGGTTGAAAAAGATTGGCAAGAAAATTGTAAGTTTTAAATGATAAATCAAAAATATATAYATACTTCAATGTGCATTCTGCAATAAGAAGAATTTACTAACTTCTCAATTTCACTCCAAAAATTTCAGGAGCGCGTTGGTCAACATACCCGAGATGCCACCATCCAGACCATTGCCGTAGCTCAACAGGCCGCCAATGTTGCGGCAACATTGAAGGGTTAACTGAATCTGTTCGAAGATTAGAACAACATATGTGTACCTAATTTCTTTTTATTTATTAAGAGTAATATTTTTTATTTATAAAATTGTATGACTGATTTTTGGAGAATGAAATAAAAGTATTTGAATAAAACTTTATTTTACGGAAATTTTTTTGTTAACATTATCTAGATCTTGGTAATAGGATTCTATAATCAAAAAACAAACTTCCTCGTAAGATAAAAACATTTTCGATATTTTTGTTGGCTAAAAATTAACAGATTTCCACCAGTATTAATATGAGTACACTCAGAAAGGGTGTCTGGTATTTATTGGAATGGAAAAAGTTTGATATAAAAATTTGAATTTTGACAGTATTCCGCACGTTATCATCTTTTTTTTCTTCTCGGTTGTATTATATTCTGCTGGATCAACGTATCTTCCGACTGTATGAATTCTATTTTTATTTTATAAGTATGTTAAATATATGGTACATATTTACACATGTATCTAATAATACGTTGTATGTATATATTTCGAAATCCTGCATTATGCAGTCCAGATCGATTACCTTTTTCTGTGTTGTTGAGTTAATTGTAAACAAATATTAATTAATAAGAAATGAGACGAACTAAAATCGAATGTATGTAAAACGTTTGAATTAACAATTCGCACAATGATCTTGTAGGAACCTGCAATTCATCAATAGGAATAAAATAATACAATCTACCTTATATTATTAAGTTCAAAATATAAATAAAATATGTAGATCGAAACATATATTTTTCCTCTAACAAACATGCTGCAATAGCATAAGTACATAATAATCCATTAAAATCCGTAGTAAATACTAAGGAAAAGCATTAACATGGGATGCATCGAAGTTATAACCCTCTACAGCTGCATTTCTTCAATCTTGAACTGATTTGCAAAGAAATTTATCTAGTTGTTATTGTTGTTGTTGTAACGGCAGAATTCTGCTAGGTTGAAACCCCTTAACCAGACATAAAATCCGGGCCCATTCCGGTTACGTAGACCCGACTGTGTGAGTCTTTATCTTTTAATCGGTCAGTTCAGAATATTCATGAAGATATTTTATCAAGTAAAAAAGATGTAATGACTTGATTTTGAGAGATCAGTTTGTATGTCAGATATAATTTAGTGGTGATTGCGAAAAACACTGCAGGCCTTTTTTGGATGTACAATGACAAATCGATATCTCAAAACCTGAGCGACTAGTTTGCGCATATACGGATGGACAGATAGAGGGACGGATGGCTAAATYGACTCAGCTATTTATGAGGTTTCCGGGTCTTCTTGGTTTTACAAATTTCTTRGCAAACTAAATATACCCTGTTCAGGGGAAAAAGTATTGAACTGTATTGAAGAGTTTCCTCGCTGGACCTTTTATAGTTATTTTTTTCTCATTATGCATACAGATGTGCATATAGATTTGTATGTGTAAAAATTTTTATGAATGAAACAGACCTCATAACACAATTTGCTTACATTTTTATAAAGTTTAATATGTACGAACGTATAAACAGATGTGAAGTATGTGACAATTCGAGTGATCTATTATTTCCGAGACGCAAAGCGTAATTAACAGAACGGTTTGCGTGTGAATTACATTTGTTGTTGCCAAATGACGGGAAGCTAAGCTGTAAATCAAAATTCCCTCCAAAAATCAGTGAAGCAGCTTTTTTCTGAACTTTAGAAATTAACGTATAATGGGAAGAAATGTATCAAGCATTGTTTATTAAATGATGCTGGAGAAACAGAAGCAGACTACTGAAAAAAATTTTACACACCATAATATTTATTCTCAGAAAAATATGAATCAAACGGTTTTTATACCCTAAACAGAATATATTAAGTTTGTCACGAAGTTTGTAACACCCAGAAGGAAGGGTCGGAGACCCTATAATATATAAATGATCAGTATGTCGAGCTGAGTCGATTTAGCCATGTCCGTCTGTCTGTCCGTCTGTCTGTATATATACGAACTAGGCCCTCAGCTTTTAAGATATCGTTTTGAAATTTTGCAAACGTCATTTTCTCTTCAAGAAGCTGCTCAGCTGTCGGARTTGCCGATATTGCCATACAAACTGAACGATCGCAATCAAGTTCTTGTATGGAAAATTTKCACATTTYACAATGTATTTCCATAAAAGTTGGCACAGGTTATTTTCTAAAACAAAAACATAATCTCCGAAGAAATTGTTCAAATCGGTTAACTATAGCATATAGCTGYMWTACAAACTGAACACATAATTACCAACAGAAATGCACCTGTGAAGGGTATTTAGCTTCGGTGCAACTGAAGTTAACATTTTTTCTTGTTTATAATTAAACTTTAGAAATTTTACAATCCAAACCATAAATTAGTTTTACATTTCAGAGACGATCACCATTATAAAGTTGTCGCCGCAATTGGGATATGAATTCACAATCTACGAACTTGTCTCAATCTATCACWTTATGCTATATTCTTAAAGAAATTATTTTACAACAGGTAAGGAAGGGCTAAGTTCGGGTGTCATTTTATACTCTCRCATGATAAAGTGATMATCGAGATTTCAGGCGTGGTTGTGAGCCGATTTCACCCATATTTGATACATGYYAWCAGGGTGTTAAGAAAGTATTATRTACCGAATTTCATTGAAATCGGTCGAGTACTTCCTCAGATATGGTTTTTGGTCCATAAGTGGGYGACGCCACGMCCATTTTCAATTTTTAAAAAAAGCCTAGATGCARCTTCCTTCTAWCATTTMTTCAGTAAAGTTTAGTGTTTCTGACGTTTTTTGTTAGTCGGTTAACGCGCTTTTAGTGATTTTCAACATAACCTTTGTATGGGAGGTGGGCGTGGTTATTATCCGATTTCTTTCATTTTTGAACTGTATATGGAAATGCCTGAAGGAAACGACTCTATAGCAGTTTCCGAGATATGTACAAAAAACTTAGTAGGGCCATTACG